TAAAATCGATGTTGAAGGTTGAAAGTTTTATATATTTTACAGCTACTTCTGTACGACAGCTAAATGACTCTCACCACTCTTATGAGTGTTCTGACATTTAAAAGTGGTATGGCAAGGATTACACAACAAAAATGTCTATTGTTTCTATAATTTAACGCATTACAATCTCTGATCGGTCAAAACTATATCGTAGAGCACATACATTCACATCTTTGATGTAAGGCTCTAACTAAATAAAAAGAATAAATGAAAAGTACTTATACCTATATCCGACTCTTTTCCTCAATAAATGATGAAGTTATTAAATATAATTCGCAATATATTTTCACGCCATTATAATATATTATATGTATTTCCAATTATATTATAATATATTGTATGTATTTCCAATTATATTATTTTGTCTCGTTTTGTAGGGCGTCAGTGATATTTGAATTCATCTTGATTATTTATAATTAATTGCTTAATTTTATTAATTTATTATGATTTAAGCGCGGTTGTTTTTACTCATTTATATTTATAGCTATTTTGGTGGATTTGTTAATTTTTTCTAATTATTTATAGTTCGTTTTAGATTATTTTTTATTGCCGGTCTTGCGCTCTGTTTTATGTTGATTGTTGATGTCTTGAGTCTAATTGATCATAAATTTCTTCAAATCTGTTTTGCATGCGTCCAACAAAAAAGTAATGGCAAATTTCCTTTGCGTGAAGTCATCTTTCGAGTTGTTTGATAAAAAAATTTACACAGATTCACTCCACTGATTTTGGAGACTCTCAATTCTGTTGTTTTTTTACGTTACAATGATAATTAATGATTGATTACATTTACAAAATTGGTAGGTTATGGTAATGTGATTTATTTTTTGTTCAGATTTATTTCGATTAGTGATTGTTGAAAACAACAAATTTGACTGTTGTTGGATTGCTTTCATTCACTGTCTCATAGTAGACGCCCACTGCTGGAGAAGTTACGTTAATTTTAAGAGTGAGTGAACTTTTTAAATTCTTTTGACTTCATTCCAAAATGGGATTCCTAAATTTAAATACTACTTAAAAATATGTAAACAATTGTTCTTTCTCGTTTACCTTTGGTTGTTTATATACTTTTTATTTTCTTTAAATGCCAGTAAATCCCCGCTATTGAATCTTTTTCTTTATTTATTATTATTTTGAATTCAAATTATAGGACAGTAATTAGAAAACCCGTGATCATTGCCTACGTTTTTAATTCAAAATAATTAATTGTATCGATTTCTTATAATTAATTGATTTCTTTTACCAGACAAATTTTATGCAAATTTAAATAACAGTGAGGAAATAACAAAGAGACTAAAAAAGTACGGAATAAGGTATAATGATATCTAATATTCACATAGGAGTATTTATCCTAAACAAAATAAAAGAAAAATATAAGATTTATGAATCATAATGAGAGATAGGAAGAGAAAGAGAGAGTGAGAAGGAGAAAAAGCGAGAATGAGAAAGTGATATGAAGAATCATAAGAAATAAAAAATAATAAAAGAAATAATATTTTTTTGTTGAAAAAATATAACATTTATGATATATAAAAATATCACAAAAAAAAATAGTAACGGAATAGTGAAGAAATCGCAGGTGATAGTAATAAAAACAACAAAAGTTCAAAATAATAGTATGTATATCACAACCTATCAAATCTATTGAGCTATACTTATATTTGTTCCTAAACTAACTGGGATAACTAACTGAAGCTTGAAAATGTCTTAAGTCGAAAATATCCTAACGAATTCAGATTTCATTTGTTATTTAGAAAAGAGTGAAATACTGTATACTTATAAGATATATAGATAAAATTATGGAGCCCAAACGGCTCCTTCATTTGAGGCGATGAATTGCAATACTGTATTGCGAACTGATAGTTCGTTTGTATTTAACGAACAGAAGGCATTCTACTGACGTATAAAGGTCATGCCTCTTATTCAGTCGTTTCCGATGTCAGATGGCGATAGGAACTTCCGGTCAATAATCATTCTCCTGACAAGGCGTTGCATCTTTGTCTGGACTTGCAACTTCATTAAACGTTTACTTTTACTTTGTTTTTAATATTTGTATTTTATTTAATTAATATTTACATTTTATTGGCATAATTTTTCTTAGTTATTAAGCTTAAACAGTAATAAATTACTGTTTAAATCAGTTTGTCTTCTGCTCTTCATATCATCTTACAGTAAAAGTATGTAACTAAATGAAGTATTAAGATTTCATCTATCACAATCTATAGGTTCTTAAAAATTAAAAATGCGACGCTTCTATACGCTTTTATTATTATATTATCATTATTTTCTAAGCAAAAACTAATATTATAAACAATTGTAGAGCTGGTCAAACACAAAACTAATTTTTCAGATAAAATAATCATACTAGAGATGGGTATACTCGTATCGATCTTTTATCGGAGATGACATGTCACATACCAAGACAACTCTAATCAATATTATGGTCTAGCCAATAAAAAAATAAACACTCTACTAAGTTTAGTAAAGAGTAGTGCCAATATGCTTACGTCCCTCATTAGAATTCATTGTTAAATAGATGTACTTCTTAAGGATCTGTCTGATAAACGAGGTAGTAAGAATAGGTACCCGGAGCTGATTTCTTACAAGATTTGTGTTTTGAGGATTTCGCAAAAATAGGCAGAGTCCTCGACAGTCGACATAGTGGAACTTATTTGAGGTGACATTAAAATGAAATGGTTAACTTGTGTTAGTTGAGTTAAAGAGTATTCTTCCAGTTAAAGTAAATTTAAATCAGTATCACTATGATTTGTAGGCTTACAATTATTTTATGTAGGTAAACTTCTACGTTTTTGTGCTTAATATTTTCTTAAAAATAGGTCCATTATATCCGCTTTTTATTTGATTTGTGATTTCGAAGACTTTTTAAATCATTTGTATTGCATGTACATCTGAAATTAGTAAATAAATTTATTTATTGCTTCAGAATTTGAGATTGTTGGCATGTTGATAAAAAATAAAAAGCTAACACCTTTAATATTTACAAAAATAGTCATTAAAATTGTTAACTATCCGAACGTTATGAGATTTCCCAGTTTTTTATTGTTTAATCTAAATTACCTTGGAAGTGTGAAAATATCTCAAATACTTATCCGTTGAAGTTGTGATTTGAAGAAACAAATCGTTCCAATGCATACGTTTCGCCTGTTGACCACATAAAATCGTTTGCATTTAAATCGCAATAATAGTTACGTGTGTAAATCAAATTGTCGTACCTGACAATGTGAAAATGATTAAATTTAAAAAATTTTATTTCAATACACTTCCTGTGCACAAAAATTAAGTAAAATGAGTTTAGAAATTTGTGTGTGCATAAATTTTCAAGTGCAAATAATCTTTGCAATTAAACAAGATTACTCATACGTTATGTGTGACGAACAATGTTCGAATTGGCTTTTGCTACGATATTTTTAACAAGATGAACTTCAACGGACTTCATGCGATTGAATTAGGTTTTGAAATATATTTTATTTTATATTTAACTTAACTATAAGAGTTTCTAACGTCTTGTCTACGAAAGTATTTTCCAAATACTTACCACTAAATATTTTAGCGGCCTAAAACTATAACGAACGAAGAACTATTCAGATTAATCAACGAAGTTAAGATAAATAATAAATCCAAAAGCGACAAGATATGTGTCTCGGAACAATCCGTTTCACAAACAACAGATGCGTTCGCACAGTTTCAGAAAAAAAAAAATCATGAAAACAAGTCGAAATTTAGTTATAAGAAAATGTGATTAGAATTGCCCACTACATATGCTTGGAATCCGCAAACAACGTTACAGTTAGTAGAGCCTTTCTTCTACATTGTAAAAGTCGATCCCTTTCTTTGTATCATGAGTACATCTACACCGCAACCACGACAATATCAATGAATATCTGCGAGGGTTTTTATTCTGCCCACCATAAACACACATCAACAATATCTACTTTAATTGCAGCTCAACTTCTCATGATGTCTTCAGTTTATTTTCATGTTCAAATATAGACAGAAATTACTGAACAGACTAGTTAAATACTCTAGTTATACGTTTACCAATTGATTCAGTTTTTAATTATATGTCCGTTATTTACTGCATTAAGCAGGGAAACCAAACTTAGACAATATAACTATATTCAAAACCTATGTCCAAATGGCAAAAAACATTCATCCTTATGGAATGCTAGCAAAGATATCAATTCCCCATAAATAAGAAACTCTCTCGGAAACTAGTTACGAAGCGATGAATGAAAATCTATCATTTGCTGATTACTTAAAAGAGGTATTTTAACCAAATCCTGAATCTGTTTATGCACCAATTATTGACTGCAAAAAGCCACTGCGTCATCTCTACTATCATGATAAAAAACTTATTTCTTTTTTCCATAAATTTCAGCACTAGATTTTTTAATGCCATTATTCATTATTATACCTAACAGAGTGAAAAACATCAATATAATTGTTCATAAATCAGGCAAAGATCCCACTTTTACCTGTTCATACAGTCCAATAAGCTTACTGCCATGTCTTTCTAGACTCTTTGAAAGTTTAAACCATTCCTTGATGGTCAAAACCTAATACCCTTCCATTAGTTTGGTCTTAGGGAACTATTGAACAAGTGAATCATATAAAGAACAAAATAAGCCAAAGAATTAAAATTAATGCACTAAAATGTAGACACGTCATTTGAAGCTTAAATCGGAGTATATTTCCAACAGTTTCATTGAATAACATTCCTATACCACAAGCAGATAAACTCACGTATATAGGTATTCACCTAAGATAGGCGACTAACTTGGCCGCAAACACATTGAAGCCAAAAAGCTACAAATGAAGCTTCAAACCTCTAAGTTGCATTTGCTCATTAATAACACAGTGTCTTCTTTAAGAGAAGATAAAATAAATAAATGTATATGTATTTAAAAAAAATATTTTTTTAAGGTAATATTTTTCTTTTACAGATACTCTATCCTCTAAGTTTTTGTGGATTAACAGACAAAGTTGATATTGAGGCTAATGTTGCTGGTGGTGGACCGTCTGGTCAAACTGGTGCTATACGTTGGGGAATTGCAATGAGTTTACGTAGTTTTGTGGATAAAGAAATGATTGAATCAATGCGTTTAGGTACGTTAAAAACATTTTAAATTATTTTATTAATTATACTAATTTATGATAAATATTATTTTTCAGCTGGTCTGTTAACTCGTGATTGGAGACGCCGCGAGCGTAAGAAGTTTGGTCAAGAAGGTGCGCGTCGTAAATATACTTGGAAAAAGCGTTAATACAACAAATATTTTATATTTGTATTATATTTGCATTCTATTAAATTAAATAAAACTAGAATCGAAACTGTATTTAATAATTAATTACATTTTATTAAGAGGATTTAAGCTCAAAATTTTCATGCCTTTATTTAACGTATGCTTGGCAGCTCGAAATAGTAAAATGCGATTTTGTTGCTTACTGGTGCAAGTTTCACTCTTAATGTTTAACAATTTTAAAGCACGACTGGTAGTGTTGCTAGGAAAGATATTTAATTTTATATTAATTTGAATCAGTGAATTTTATCAAACACCATAAACTTACCATAAACTAAACAAATAATTAACTAAAATACAAGGCTCTAGTTGTTCTTTAGTGAGCCATAGTACGCGGTCACAGCGCGCAATTTCATAAAGTAGCTCTTCAGCTATTGGCTCCTGTAAATAATGGAGGTTAGGTATTGCATCTATTGTATTGATATCAGCCATATTTTCAAGCAAACTAGATAAGCGACAGTGTGTGTATTGCAGTTTAATGCCAGTGTCACCATTGACTTGAAGTGCTTTTTCCCAATTGAATTCATAATCACGTTGGCGCCTTTGCTTTAAATCATTTATAATTACAGCTGATACGCCCAAAGCATCGGACACAAGTTTGTCGTCATTTGTAATGGATATATTTACTTTGGTAGCTATAAGTCAAGTAATATTTTTTTCTTATGAAACATATAAAATTTTACTAATAAATACTTGTGCTTTTCAGTTGTTTCTCATGCATTATGTCTCTAGCCTCATCAAGTACATCACGCAGAAATACTGCGTTACCGCTTCGTGTACTCATTCCTAAAATGCGACCGAATTTTATGTGTCTTAGTTTTGATAATGATATGTCTGGACAAAGAGCAGCAGTTGTTTTGAAACACGCATTGAAATGGTCTGTTTGAGCATTATCCACTACGTAAAAAATATCATTAAATTGAAATCGTTTAAAACGATCAATTAGCGCAGCAATATCTCGTGCTAAGTACAGAGTGGAACCATCACTTTTTATTATTGGTACACGCCGGTCATCAACCTGCACAACCTTACGCCCATCTCGTTCATTAAGTAGCAAGGATTTTTCGGATAAACTTCTTAAAATGCTGGAAATTTGTTGCTGCGAATATTGTGATTCCCAATCGTAAAAATCAAATTTTACACCCAATCTTGCATACATACGGTCTAGTTCTGCTATAGTATATTCCCGATATAGTTGCCATTGTTGAGTAGTTTCACTGTTTGTTCCAATTTCTAATTCATTAAAACAGCGACGTGCTTTTTCTGTTATATTCGGATCTGTTTTAGCTGCCGTATTTGCTGCTACATAAGCATTATAGAGTGTAGCAATAGGTTCACTTTTCATTTGTTCAGATGTTATATTTAACATTTCTACACCGATTTGTAGCATGCCAAATTGTGTACCCCAATCCCCTAAATAATTTAATTTTGTTACATTGTAACCTAATTGCCTGTAAAGATTCCCAAGCGTATTTCCAATTATGGTTGAACGCAAATGACCCACATGAAATGGTTTTGCTATGTTCGGTGAACTATATTCGAAGACTACATTTTTATTGATTTGCGGTATTGATTGGTTTCTTGATTTTTCATCTAACAGATCTGCTATAAATGCTTCCGGTTGTAACAGAAATTCCACTATTCTACTTGATTTATCTTGTGCCGGTAGTATGCGCACATTTTGTACCACATCTTGCTGAAAACTAATAGCGGGTAATGCATGCAGAATTTCTTGTTGCTGTTGATCTGCTCCTGTTAGCTTCCAGTACAGCGTGGGATTCTTTAACAAACTTTGTTGCTTTTTTATGGGCAAATCAAGCTCATAATAAATATTGTCACACTTTGTAATCTGTGAAATCTGCCATTAAATTGCTTAAATTATGATTTTTTCTTTCATCACATTTTAAAAGTCAGGATTTTCTTACTTTTTCACAAATCGCTCTGCGGATTCGACTCGACATCGTTCTGCTTAATGTCATACATTGATAAGCATTTGACACTTAACAGCTGTTTGAGGTAAAATTATGAAGTGCTTAAAAACACTGAAAAAAATTTGTGAATTTTAAATGTTCTACATATAATTTTTATTAAATTTATATAATTAATGTTATCGATATAAATTAATTGTTCAAAAAAACTATATTAAATAAAATTAAATGATTAATAAGGGCTATATTATGTATAATTTTTTATATATGAAGTACATGTATAATCACATAAACTTTTATATATATCTGTATAAACTAAACGGATATAACTGACACTATATTGTGAATTGCTTATATTCACCCGTAATAGGTATCGTTATATATATGACATTAGGTATGTTTAAAATATAATAATAATTTTTTCAACATTAATCAGTAAAAGCTGAGTAAAATTTTTAACTGAAAAAATTATATATAGCCACGGTTGCCACTTATGGTACTTTAGTACCAAAATTGGTACTTTTTTTTTCGTTTGGTACTCATGTTCAAAAAATGGTACATTTTTGACAACCCAACTTTATTGTGGATATTTCCAATTAATTTTTTTTATAATTGCAACTTTGCACTATTTTATATTTTGTTCATTTATAACAGTATGAAAAACACAGAACGAAAAAAATAAGAAGGTTAAAAAAATTTTGGACTTTTTTTTACAGAAATGGTACCTATTTAAACCAGTTTTGGTACAGGAAAAAATTTTTAAGTGGCAACCGTGTATATAGCTTAAACCAGGGTTTCGAACCGAGAATTTTTGCGACTTGGTCTATAAAAAAAGATTTATCAATTAGTTTCGATAAAAATATCAATTTTTCCTCAGTTTCCAAGGAATATATTTTATGTGTTTGTATTAAAAATTAGATATATTGTCATTACAAAATTTTTGTATAAATTCTTTTAAGATAAACTAATTTTAAAAAGTTAGCAATGAATTTTAGTTCAGAATATGATCTAGTTTAACTATATTCCCGAGCAATAAAGTATAATTCGAATTCATAAAAATACGTCTATATACACAAAAAAGCGACAACTGAAAACAAGTGTGGGTGTTAAATAGGTCCTGACGTACTGAAATAAAATAAGCTTATATATTTTTTTCGGCTTTCATTTAAACAAAATGATCGAATTCTATTTAGTTCCGGTTCAAAGTCCTCTCTATTAATAACAAATTTAAGTAGCACGCATAATCACAGACTAGTATAAGTAATAAAACATAACGTGTACACTGCAATGTCTTCCATTTAAGTATACTGAACTGTTTACATCAGACGTTTCCGTGAGTCTTTTTATTGTTAAACTCTTTATATACATGCGTATTTATGGGAGTACATTTTAATTCTCCAGTTATTGTTCACCATTTTAAGATAAATATCTTTTCCTCCATTTCCTCCATGCCGCCCGTTAAACGCTTTTTGTATTTCGTGTTTCCAACAATTTTTTTATTACAATATGCTTCCTATATGTTAGTATTATACGTTTTTATACGAGCGTTATTTATTTAAAAATAAAATTGACCAACAATTTTTGAATCAAATGAATAAATAAAGCAGTTAATTAATTTTAAAACTTACCATATGAGTAATTAAAAGAAATAATTACTGAAAATAATTCAGTATCACTGATATTAAAGCGTTTTCCACATTATTACAAAAGAATTAATAAAATTGTTGTCATTACAGTTATACAATTTAATTGAATTTTTTACTAAATATCTCAACCAAAATAATTCCATCATTAACGTTAACATAAATAATTTTCGTTGATTACTTCTTGGTTTTGAGATTATTTAACCCAGATAAACCAGCAGATGTACTAGGTTTACGTACTGTTTCCTCTATATTTACATGTGGATTTTTAAGATCGTTACTGACCTTGGATATAACATTGGCACAAACTGCAATACTTTGCTGTATACCAGCTGAAGGCAAGCACTCGCCAAGGAAGCACACTAGCAAAGGTTGCTTTGAAACTACGCTAGAATAATCTTCATAAGATATGACACCATCCTTATCCACATCAAATTTTTGAAATAATAATTCAACCATATCCTAGTATGTAAGAAATAAATCAGATCCTAGTCTACTCTATTTTGATTACCAACACAGATGACAACTACAAAGCGCAACCAAAAGAATATCAGTTCCACAAAGTTTAATCAGATCAACTTTAGGGGTTGCCCCAAAAATTGTTGTATGATTGTCATCTGCGTTGAGTATAAATGAATTTCATTATATTTACCGAACGTAGTTCATTGATTTCATCTTCGTCGTCACCAATGAAAAATTTTTCAACAGCTTGTGTAACGACTTCACGATTCAGATAGCCAGTACCCTGTACATTATATATCTAACAAAAGTGCATAATTATTATAAAAATAAATCTAAAATTCTAAATTCAATTGTAAAAGCCAACATTTAAATAAATATATCTTACCTGAAATGCAAATCTCATCCTATGTTCTAATTTATCAGTCATAAAAACTGAAAACAATTTAACAAACGCTATTGGATCCACATCTTTAATTTGCTCCGATGTCAGATGTAAAAGGATCCGTTCGATAATCTGCAAATCATAAATATGGAAAAGAACTAAAAATAGATGAAAGAATTGTTTTCTAGTCATATTTTTTGCTTTGGGTCCATTGGCGAGTACGTATTTATGATAAACCAAAAGAATGCACTTTACTTCCATGGATGTAAACACACTTTGTTTAACCATATACGCCAAAAAGTCATGGTAGGTATTGTCGAAGCGTGTGTTTTGAACATCATCTAAAGTTTGATCTAATTTATTCATATTGGCTTAAGCGGTAAAATATTTGAAACGGTACTCGTCCAAGATCAATTAACGTATATTTAATTTAAAATTTTTGTAAATCAAAATCTCAAAATCAAAATTGACGTTTTATTTTTTTTACTAGCAATTCCGAAACAACGTCTCAATAAAAGAATATATAACTGAATAAGTAAATAAATTTAATAAGTTTTCATTTGATTATAAATTTTTAAAAGCAAAGTTTGCTAAGTTTTGATGTAAATAATTATTTTGAGGTACATCGAGGCAATAATGCACAAAATATTATTTTTATTATACATATTTGTACTTTTAGTATACTCTTATATGTACATAATTCTAAGCAATCTAATGACTTATTTTCGCGATAACATATATATATGCGACATATGCAATGTCTTTGAATTATTTAAATATATATAAGTAATATAGTTGACAGACATATCGTCACTTAGAATTTATAAATTCGATTATATTCGACTATAGGTATTTTCTTTTGTAAGCATGTCGCAAAAGAACAAATAAAATAAGCACTACATTCAATAGAAATTTCATTAGGCTTACATATGAAAGATATTTATAACATTTAAAGTTAAAACTTCGAATATGAATAATAATTATTTGTAATTATTCGTGAGAATATCTTTTTTACATGATTGTGAATAAGATATAATTGTCCATGCCTTTTAACAGTGAAATAATAAATAGAAAAAAATTAACGTGTTTGTTACGAAATACGAATAATTAACGAAATCATTCGTTGACAGTTAACTGGAAAATTCGTATGTACTTCCAAAAACCATTCACAATAGATGAATTTTTAGTCTTGGCAACCATTTGATTTGAGCTGCTTAGAGTTAAGCGATTGCAAAAAGGTTGGGCTAAATAAGCCAGCAGTGTTGTTGTTTCATATGTTACTTTTAAAATAAGCAGTTCTTCTTTTATGATATCCTTACAAAAGAAACGGCCTTACGTATATATTTCAAAATTATAGCCATTATTACATTAACTAATAGAATATTAGAACACAGGATCTTATGTGTAATATAACCCACAACAGCATTAATTATATAATTTACAATAAATAAAAAATATTTTTGTTGTTGTATTAAAATAATTTATTCAGATTTAGAAATATTTGATGTGTAGTACGAAAAATTTTGAAATTTTGATTTATAAATTCAATATTATATAAAAAAGTTGTATTTTGAATATATTAGAAAAGATTCCTTTTCTACATCAAAATACTATGAGCAATCATACAAACATTTCTGTAACCCGTAATTCTTGCTGATTATTTCTTTGTTTTCAGATTTGTAAAACTAAACAAACCGCCAGAAGTACCAGGTTTACTTTTTGGTTAATCAAAATTAACATTTGGAGTTCTAAGATCATCATCTACTTTTGAAATAATGTTGGCACAGACAGCAATACATTGTTGAGTCCTTTTGGCAGGTAAACACTCACCAAGGAAGCACACCAATAAAGGTTGCTTTGAAACTACGCTAGAATAATCTTCATAAGATATAACACCATCCTTATCCACATCAAATTTTTGGAATACTAATTCAACCATATCCTATTATATAATAAATTAGTCAATTCTTACTTTACTTTATTTTAAATGTATATCATCATGCTTACTGAGCGTAATTCATTAACTTCATCTTCGTCCTCACCAACGAAAAATTTTTCAACAGCTTGTGTAACGACTTCACGATTCAGATAGCCAGTACCCTGTACATTATATATCTAACAAAAGTGCATAATTATTATAAAAATAAATATAAAATTTTAAATTCAATCTTATTTGTATCTTACCTGAAATGCAAATCTCATTCTCTGTTCTAATTTATCAGTCATAAACACTGAAACCAATTTGACAAACGACATTGGATCCACATCTTTGTACTGCTCCGAAGTCAGGTATAAGATAATGCGTTCAATAATCTGCAAGTCATAAATATGGAAAATCACAAGAAACAGATGAAAGAATTGCTTTCTAGTCATATTTTTTGCTTTGGGTCCATTGGCGAGTACGTATTTATGATAAACCATAAGAATACACCTTACTTCTTCCGACGTGAACGCACTTTGTTTCACCATATACGCCAAAAAGTCATGGTAGGTACTGTCGAAACGTGTGTTTTGCACATCATCTAAAGTTTGATCTAATTTATTCATATTGGCTTAAGCGGTGATTTTGAAATAAATTTTGAAATGACGTTGACACAAAATCTGTATGACAAAAAGTATGTAGACGACGTTATTTTTAATATATGTATTTATATGACTTGTAACAACTTCAAAATATAAACAATAAAACATATGTGACAAAAAATAATATTTATCTACAATATATTTAAGAATGTATTTGATTGTAAATGTTTATACATCTCGAAGCTTACTTAGTTTTAATGAGACTGAAAAATTATAATAGGATATGGACAATATTAATATATAATTTATAAAAGTTGGTGATATAATTGTTTAGTATAATATGTTTCACGGTTTATATCACTGGGTCTGTATACACTAGCGGCAGTTTAACGCTTGAAATTGTTTTCTGACATAAGACTGTGAAGACAGTCAGGCCTATTCTGAATACTACCAGGGAACAAAACTCCCTATTCCCGCGCTGTTCCCGAACACACAACTCCCTTATTCTGAATTGCCTGGGAGACAGCAGTTCTGGGAACAACAACAGTTTCAAATTTGTTTTGTTAAATTTTGGCAACCATGTCACTTTTTAATGACGAAAAGTGAGAAAATGAGCAAAACAAAGAAAAGAATTGCGTATCATATGTTGATTTAAATGTTAAAATCGCATTATTTGTTTGCTGCACAAATTATTAGAAATAAATATAAATAATTTAATAAGTGATTAATGAAAAACTTTTATTTTAATGAGAAAAATAAACATATAAAAAGAATTGTGCAGTTGTTGGTGTTCATTTATATAAAAACTTTTCAAAAACTTTAAAAATGCATTCAATTGCATTTCGAATATTAGCGGAGGATTCGAAAATAAAATATGGAAAACACGTTTTTGTCCTCCTTATTAGCTACAATTCTTTTTCATTTGTTTTATTTGTTGTTGTTGTTTTTAGTTTCAACGAATTTAGCTTGTTAAATTTTATATTATTGATTTTTTCTATTTACTATTATTTACTGTGGTCTTATTGACCACTAGATAAAATTTTTTAACTATTCAGTTATTCAGTTATATTACATATGCAGCAATTGAACGCATTATAACGAAATTTACCAAAATCCGTTGTCAAATCGTAGTGAAATTGTAATCGAAGCACAGGAGGTGTCAAAATGGCAAATTTATTTGTTTGTTCTGCTTTTATTGTTTTGAACCTAAACAATATAAAAATTGAACTAAATAAATTGAAATAAATAAGACAACAAGGAGTACATCACATATTATTACTGATATAATTATTACAATCATATATAGCATGTTGCATATATTAATTTTGTTATTCTATTTCATTTACATTTTTCCCTTTTCCAACACTCTTCATAATTGCGCAAAGCAAACCCGTCTAGTCAGAAATGTAATAGCAACCTTGCGTACGCACATAAACTTTTTTCTTTTATTGGAAAAAATCGAATAAGTGAGCAAGAAGTTGGTATAATTCGTTTCAAGCTCCGTTAAATTAATACTAATTAATTGTATATTTTAATTTATATTGTTTAAATTTTATATTGATGTGAAAAGCCGACACATTCATACATAAGCATAGAATTTTGTGATAACGTGCAATAAAATAAACGGGATCAAACGAGTTAAAAAAAGTTCAATAAGAAAAGAACATCAATAAAAAAAAATTAACGACGGGAAAATAAAAGTAATAAATAAGAAAAAAAGAGAAAAGATCACAAAAGCAGCATTTAAAATGGTTAAAGAATTTTTGATTGTTTATCGACGTGGCCGGAAAGAAGTATAAAAAATTTTTGTTTCTTTAAAATTTTGTCAGCGAAGCACTTGATTTGCATCGTAGGAGCAGTGGCAACATAAGGGAAAGCATCGATTTTTACTATTGTTGCTGTTGTTATTGGGTGCGGGTGTTATTAGGGGGTGTTAAAATGCGTTCAAAATTTGCCTGCAGCTGGACACGTTAATAACAATAATTTTATAGTAAAAGAAAAAGATATTTTTTGCACTAAAAATTTCGCATGAATCGCGAGTGATGTAAAATTTAAAAAAAATAATTGAACGTAGTTATTATTTGTATTTAAAGAGAATTTTTATCCTAATTTTTTTAACATTTAATTTTAAAGTGTTTGAAATCTTTGTTTCCTTCTGATTTGCCCAAATTATGTCATGCGTTCAAAGAAAACTTCTAAAATGGGTCAGTGCCAAACATCAATGTAATGCTCAGGGGTAAATTATGTGGTCTTCTAGAGGACAAGAAGGATACTATGTTGAATTTAGTAAAATTGTAGAAGTGATATGAACCAATAGCAAATATAATATATTTTGTATATTAAAGTGGCTGTTATGTGAAGTTTGTTGATGAATTGTCACCAAATTGTTGTTAACTTGTAGTTCCCCGGTGAAAACATTTAAACACATTTATTTTACATTATCTATTATGTCTATCTATATCTGTGTTTTCAAAATTTTACTTGAGTTTCGTTAATAAAACGATTTGCCACTATCAAAATGTCTGTATATAAATTCTCATCTCAATTTAATTGATCAACTGTCCAGAGTTTACAAGTCTTAAACTAACTTGTTTTCCTCTCCAAGTCTTATATTCCTTGTTTTCATTATTTTTCTCAATTAATATTTCTATTATATCGTTTTATTTATATAGTTCTTTATATTAAAAACTAAAGAAGCTCAATATTATTTTTTAAGAACAACAAAAAAAGCAAATATTAATAAATTTTTTTCAAAAAACCTTGGGTGGTTCATCAACGTGTTATCGTTAGCATTACGCTGGGAACTCACAGAGGTTCAATGGGTCACCGGTATTAAAGTATTTTTGTTTTTAATATATTGAGCAACTATTAAAAAATTTTAGGAAATATACAAACGTGAACATTCTTTTAGTCTCTGCAGTACACCTTGCCTTTTTCTATACTTTCTTTTATTTTGAATTTCATACGTAAAAATGTATTCCATAGGCGTTTTAAGCTCTTGCTGAGCTTAATTAAATCATTAAAAAATTTGATTTCAGTTTTTTCCTATTTTTTGAATATTATTTAAATAAATTCGTTGTCTCTAAAAGATAGAAAAAGCTTTTTGTTATATGGACCAAAAAACCAATTTATTCAAAAAATTAAATTATTATTGTATTGAACCACATATCCATCTACGTAATTATAAATGGTTTTTGTTTTAATAGATGAAATTTAAATTTTTTCTTATATTGCGATTTAGTTTATATTTCGTTAGAAATAATAAGTTTATGAAGGATAAATAAAATTTTTCATTAATTGTGATTAGTCAATATTGTTGTAAGTTCTGGAATAAAAGTCCTTGTAATAAAATGAGAAAAATTAAAAAAAAGAGGGAAGGGAAATAAAAGTAGAAAATATGAAATTAACTATATTAGAGGTAAAGAAATATTGTCAACTAAATAGAGCGGAACCAAAAATTTATAAGGCTCAAACTGAGCTGAGCAATAAAAAAAGGGTAGAGTTATGTGAAGTTGAGGTTGAATTGGGGAATAGTATTACCGAAGTTAGGACCATACAGTTCATGATGCATAGAGAAGACTTATTTTATCCATATATCTGTTGAGGCTTTTTGGGAACCTTATTGGAAATGCATATTAAATAATAGGTATCATTTATTTATTAATTAATAAGATCAAAACTTAATGTTAATGTCGAAAAATTAATGTGTTTCATAGTGTTAGTAATCTCTGAAGTCTTTTTGTATACAATATCTTCAGATATTTTTAAATTTTACTACCTACCATGTGGTATAATAACATTGGTTTAACACTTACTGTATTTATAAATTGTTATATCTATTGTTTTCTCAATAGATCTGTAATTTATTGCTTACATTAGCGCAATAACATTATTCTGTTGCTATGGTTAGCAATGACATATATCTGATTCTGCTTATATAGTGCAGTGCATTTTAGATTTGTTAGTTCCGTTATTTTTTCATGATAACACTGTTACTAATCGTTTATTATATTGTATTGAACTTTCTTACGTATATAGAGTTTACAACGACCCATCTTTTTAGTTCTAGTGTGTAGGAATTTTGTGTTTGGTTTTTCTTTTTTTCACAATTTACAAAAGTAGCTTATATATATCTAGAAAAATCTGCAATATAAACAGCTTTCTCATGTTTTTAGATCTGAGATGTATTTCGTTCTTAAGTCTGTTTGCCTATTTTTTTATCTTCTTCCTTATTTAGTACACTATTTAACTCTATTCTATTCATTAAATTTTAAGTCTAATTTTGGTTGTAATATATAGAAATCGGAATTATTGACACTAACTTAATTTAAAGGATTACGTTCTATTGAAAAATGTACACGTATCATTTCACAAAAAAGTGTTATATATATTTTTAGAATAGTTTACATATGTTCTGTTTTCTTCTCACAGCTAATAATCTTCATTATTTAAGCCGTAATTTTTTTATTTTTATTTTAATAGTTCTTTTTTTCTATTGTTTTTAGCGTTTTGTATTTACTGCAGTTTTCAGCGCGCAATTTTTCTACGTCAAAGCTGACCATATGGTATATAAAGCTTGGCATGCATATGTGAATATAATTAAAATAAATAAATTATATCTATAGAGATAAGATATAATACAAAAATCCTAATAATATAATATATAGAAATTAAAATATATATTATGGAGCATTTGTTTAATTTTTTCAATTTTACACACGTGTTATCGGCGCTTTACTCAATAATTGAAAATATGAATACATGTACAAATAAGAGGAGTGAATAAATAAATAAATAATTATATATATAAATAAATAAGTATGAATGTGTTGAGCTTTTCGATTTTTGCAAAGAAATGCAAACAATTTAATTATTTTTGATTTCCAGCATCTTTCACATTGACATCGAAAACACAATCAAAGCTGGAACTTTGATACCAACAAAACAAACAGTGTTGCTCTACTCCTTACTCTTGCTGCGATTCTTTGGTCATAAAATCAAACAAGTCTCACTTTTCTACATGAATATTGAAAATATTATATATGCAGAGATTCAGTGCAAAATTGGAAATTGTAATTGAAGCAACAAATTAGATTGCGCCCTATAATACTACCGAGCGAATCTATCAACAATAAAGTGTGAATAGTTAGTGAAGTCGTTGTCGCTGTTGTGCGGTGGTTTGATAACTAATTTCGTAATATATAAATAAAAATATCACAGAAGAAAAAAATTGCAAAAAAAGAAACAATAATAAAGCTATAAGTGGTTTTAAGTAAAAAAAAAAAAAGAAAACGTAAAGTGATATATAAAATTAAATAACTGCAATTGTGCACTTGTCTTAAATCCTCAAGGAGTCGTTAAAAACACAAACAATCATCATGACTATGGCTGGGCAAACAATTAATGACAGGCTGTTAGCTGCTAGGCACAGTCTGGCTGGTCAAGGTTTAGCAAAGTCTGTATGCAAGGCCACAACAGAAGAGTGCATTGGACCGAAGAAGAAACATTTGGATTGTAAGTAATAAAGCGTAACTTATAAAATAACCTCTTATCAAATTTATATAATTAATATTTATAATTATTTAATTTCTGATACACAATTTTTATTCCCTTTTAAAATTTACATTCACTTCCTGTTCAAAAAATAAAAAAAAATAAAACATAAACCACAACAACAAAAAATTAATTGATAAACATGCATTGATAATACATTGTGTTGTATAATTTTCTTGAGCTGCAACACAAAAAAGCCTAATTAAGCATCTTGCATTAATTATAAAAAAAGAAAAACTTCAAGATAACTGCATATACGTATGTATATCGTTTGTGTGCAATAACTTATTACTTGCAACATAAACAATAATAATATCCAAAGACCGATAAAAAATGGCAATATTAACAACAACAATAATAATAATAACAAAAACAACAAAACAACATCATGCAAGCGAACTTTAAATTTCCTTACTTTTACTTGCAAGCACACAATTTATGTGCTGGTATTTCTTCAACGTAACGTCATTCCAATTTATTTTCTTTTGTTATTCATACTACGTCTCCCACAAGTACAGAGCCCGCTTGCCGCTCTCATTTTAGTACTATTCAGTTATGTCATAAAACTAGCGTGCTTACAGAGTAGTCTTACAGAGTTGCCGAAAGCTTAATAAGAAATTCGCGTTAGAAATAATCATTACAAACTTGCTAGGATTATGTATTATAACAAAGATATAACTACTGAGTAGTTATTATAAGTAACTACAGTTACTTTAAGGGTATGCGTATATATGAGATATATTGTAATAATATCATATACGATAATTATATATATTGAAGTTGTTGTAATCAGCTAAGAAAACTCATAAGTTCTTGTGACTTCTCAAGTAGTGAAGTAGTAGAACACAAAATTAATCCAAAGAAAATGAAAAGAGAAACGTCGAGGTGTCGAGAGTATAACTGCCGCCTAGGGCATATTAGTTTTTTAGGGTCCACTGAAAACATATAGAATTTACTTATCTTGAGGACTATTTTCCGCCTTTCTACACCATATCTTTTTAGTATTATTCAGAAAGATATAAGCAACTTGTTGTTTCTTGCCACGTAATTACTTATATTAGAGACAATTTTACACTATTTGGTAAGTAACACTCGTGGCATGATAGGTCCATTTCCAAACTCTCGTTTCGCTGCTTAATAGAAACAATTTAATGGAAATAATATGATATAAGAGTTAGGGAAAGAAGACGGTGATATGGCAAAATAATTAAATATGGTATATGTTTAGTCTCAGTAATTCAGTTTTCTTAATGAAATGATCCGATTAGTCAGTAGACTTCAAACTATCTTGTGCATAGAGGGATTATTGAACTAAGTTATAAGAATTTTGTGGTTGATAACGAAATAATCATCTCTTCTTAGAAAAACGAAATACTTGTTACTGAAATACAATTATTAATGAAGAAACATTTGTATGGCTCTTTAGTTGCTTTTAATAAAATAATTACTTGGTGAGCTTCTGTGTTTAATAAAATCAAAAATACAATTAAATTAAATACTTTTGTATATACATTTCAAATTACTTTGACTGACTAGTGATATTATTTTATATATGTATATACGCAACATAGACACAGGTGATCTATACAAAAATAATAATTACAACTAGATGTTCTCCCAACTTGACAAATAGAATAGCGACAGCGACTGAAAATACCAATGTAACTCTTGTTTTTTGCTAGATTGACGTTTCTTAAAATCGTACTTAATATTAATATCATTGTTGTTTTGTTACATTAACCATTTCTTAAAAAATTTTTACTTTTAAAATATGTTATCCGGTGCTAAAATATTGATATGCACTATCAGTTTCCTTATAGCCAAACGCTATAGGTACTTGGGGGGGTGCTATTAGAAAGCATGTCGGGGTTATATATCAAAAACTCTTTGAAATGATTTACGTGTACATTTTTTTCTCGTTATATGGTAGTTAAAATATAAACTTGTTTTTCTATTACTGATCATCGTTTAAACATCATTTAATGTAGTTTAATGTTTTTAAGAATTAACATTATCTTTTTATCCAATTGATACCATACATATAGAATTGTTCCCAAATGCACGAAATATATACGTTTCGCATATATTAATATTTGGATAAAGTGTAGGAAACTGTGTTGGTTTTCAAGAATAAATGAGTAAGTAGAACTCAAAGAACATAAATTATATAATATACAGACAACCAAACGCTAAGGAGAAACAAAATAATTTGAAAATTTTTGCCAATAAAAACTTTTACTTATAACGTTACGAGAGTTGTTTAAAAATTTATTCGTCACTGGCAGTTACTAGATGACAGTTATGCATGTTGATCCTTTTTTCGAGTCTGCGCAACTGGGCACTTTTACACTTTGATAGCTGGGAGTACTACAGGGTCCCACCCATCTCATTGACTAATTTATGTATTGCCTATAAGCTTCATGATTATTCAGTGATTGATCTAAGATCTGCATACCTCCCCGTGCAGAGTGTGGTTACTCTAAGATTAGATAGTGGTAAGTAGGATAGCCTGTCAATTTTCGCATATAACTTCAGGGCTCTGTCCCTTATGTATTTTTTGATCGGGTCTAATCTAAGGTATCTTAGCATGTCGTTAGTGCAGATCTACCAAGGCACTTTCAAGAGCCTTCGGAGAGCCTGACTTTGAGCAACTTGTAGCTTTTGTATAGTAGACACATATATACACATATATACACATATATACACATATAAATAGATTAAGGCACTCTTCAAGTCTTCGGAGAGCCTGGCTTTGACAGTTATCTTAACACTTTTCGTTCACTTTGAGTAGCTATTGCATTTGCTAGTTTCGATCTCATTATAGACTTTATCGAAACGGAGCTTGAAGAATTGTCGGTATAACCGCAACTAGTAGAATATATTTTGTGACTATATTATTTAGTTGAAATTCGATATACACGTATGGAGTATTTAAAACGTGTCATATGATAAAGTTTACTTAGATCAGTTTCAACCTAGATATAACTGCCAGCGCTTTAGGCATATGTGTCAACTTATTACATAGTATATATTTATAATCCTATTATTAAAAACAATAATTATATTTTCAACTGTAGCAAGTAGTGAAAAAAATAATATTATTTATTGTATAATAATAAGTATAGCAATTAATACCATTTATTATAATAAGTGGTGTAGTTCTTAGCATTTATTGTAATAAATAACATTTGTTTTTATAAAAGTTGTAATAAAAACAGTGAAATTGTTGTTGCTATTAAATCATAATCTAACATTATAATTAAAAAGTAGTATTTAAATATTTTATTCAATATATGCAGTGAGATAATTCAGCAGATCTTATTTATTTTTTCATAGAATGGAATTGTGAAGAACAAAAATAAAAAATACGTTTCGTTTATTGATTTCATTTAGAATGATCTATTTGAGTATTTATTTTGAAAAACAATAATATTTCAAATTATAAAAAATCAATGTCAACTTGACCAACTATCACATTTTATAATATACAACTACAGAAGAACTTGAACAAGTTAAGTATGCTGCTATATATCACACTTTCATATATTCATGTTTTTATAATAGTGGGTCACTTCTGAAGTTTAGACCCAACTACAACTTCAGAAGTTTTATTGTGTATGACTAAAAAATTTCTAAATTGTGGTATATTTATAGCTTAGGTTTGATTTTTTGAAAATACTATATGTCTTCAACTTATTTTATATTGTATATTTTTTCTTCTTTATATTTAAATAAATATTTTTAAATTTAATGTTACTTCTGTTCTACCTGTATTTCTCATACCTTGTATAAGTTTGCTTATAATAAACAAAAAATTGTGATAAAAAACAAAGGAAAAAGAAGAATAAAAAATTTGACTGTTAAACTTTCTGACCCAATGAACAGAAGTCAAGAAATTTGCATATTCAACAATCTTAACTCGTATTTTCAACGCACGAGTATAAAAGTAACTCACATATCTTACATCTATAAAATTGTTTTACCTTAATACCAATGCACCATCAATGCAACTCGCTTTTATTTTGAATGAAAATATCTTTGGTCTGGAGTTTTGCTTGAGTGATAAAGCGTTGAAGAAATAAAGTTTTATAGAAGCTTTTCAATTGAAATCGTAAGATTAAAAATCATTACTCAATGCAATGTAATTTAATACGGATTTATTTTTATATTTATTTTATTTTTCATAAAGGGAGTTTATTTCTTCTTACGTGTTTACAAGTTTTTAAGTGGTTTTTTTTTATTCTTTTATTAAAATGAAAATAGAAAAATAACATAAGAACACGTGTTGAACTGCATAATTTTATATAGTTTTTCGAACTCTGTATAGAGTATAAGAATTTTCTGTACAAAAATATTGAAAATATAATCGCAATTTTAATTAATTTATAATAAAATATCTGTATATTAGGATAAGGTTTCCGCCACAAGTTGAAGATTTTATTCTTAGTTATTCAGTATTTAAAAAAATTTTTTAACTACAGTTTTCATCATTATGGAGACAATTCGGTCCGGGGTTTATCGCTTTAATTTTTATTACCATGGATGGTAATAAAAAATTTTTAAAATTAAAAAATTTTTATATATTTATAATTATATACATTTTTATATATATATATATAAAAATATATAAAAATTTTTTAATTTTAAAAATTTTTTATTTTTATTATTTTTTATTATTATTATATATATATATATATAGAAGATATATAAGATATATATTATATATGTTATATATTACATATATTATATATATCTTGATCAACTGTGGTCTATTTTAGTTTTCTGCGGACTCTGTTTTACTAAAAATTCGTATTACCAAGAAATATTAATCATTACGATATTATTAAAAAATTAATTTTTGTATTTGATATTGTAAAATCCTACAAAAGACAAAATTTTATTTATTAAAACTAATTTATCTGAGATATGAGATACCTTTCCATAAAGTATGCAATGTTCAA